ATATATATGTGTGTGTGTGTGTGTGTGTGTGTGTGTGTGTGTGTGTGTGTGTTGTGTGTGTGTGTGTGTGTGTGTATAAACGCTGCCGAGATGAATAGTCTGCGGGCCGTGACCTTGGCCGGGGTCAAGGCCCAGGGCGCCGCATGAACAACGCCTCCAGGGGCGTCCCGGCGAGGCACGGGCAGACGCCAAAGGTGCCACGGGCAGGGACTGGCATTTCGTGGGTCTTAAAGGGCCGATATATAGAAGTGTGAGTGCGAATGTGTGCAAAAGAGGGCAGAAAGGGGGGGGGGGGGAGTTGAAAGAGGGGACCACAAAACGAAGGAAATGAATAGAGAAGGAAGAAACGTTTTCACATATATATTGTGCTGCTGCATTCATGTGTTCCTGTGTCAACATACAGATATAATATGTACCGTGTGCTGATTGTGATTTTGTGTATTTGACTATTGTGCACTTGGGTGTGTTTGTGCATGTGCTAATGTATATATTTGTGTATGGACATATGTGAAAATCTAAATGCCAATTTCTTCTCGATCGACTAGAAGAGACGGACCGAGCAGACGGCGTGTAGGTGTGTGTGTATAATATACGTATATGTGCGTAAATTAAATAAATATAATATATATATATATATATATTATATATATATATATATATATTATATATATATGTATATATATATTATATATATATATATATATATATATATATATATATATATATATATATATATATATATATATAATGCTATCGGGCGCCAAGTTTGTCGCTAACGGGGGGTTCCGCGCAATAAAACCTACGTATTTGCATTGTATAGAGTGAGAGGAATCCAACGATACGAAAATCGTCGATATCGGTTATGCGGAAGTAATATGTGTGTATATGTGTGTTTATATATATATGTGTATATATATAGTAATATGTATATATATATATATATATTATATATATATATATAATATATATATATAAAGAAAAGAAATCAAAATCAATGAATGGTATTTTCATTGTTATCAAAAGGGAGGGGAAGTGAGGTGAGGGAGGTAAGGCGGAGGTGAGCGGAGGAAAAGGGAGTGCTGAGGAGGGCAAGGGAGGTGAGGAGGATAAGCGGAGGTCGAGGGAGGGGAAGAGGAGGTGCATGGGAGGATAAGGGAGGTGACGGGAGGCGGAGGGAGTGGAGGAGAGGGGCAAGCGGAGGTGAGGAAGGGCATGCGAGCGTGAGGCAGGCGGAAGGCGAGAGTGAGGGAGCGGGAAGGGAGTGAGCGCGAGGGGAAGGGAGGTGAGCGGGGAAGGGGGAAGGAAGTGAGGGAGGGGCAAGGGAGTCGTGACGGGTGAGCTGGGAAGGATGGTTGAAGCGGAGCGCGGAAGGGAGGTGTAGGGAGGGAGGGAGTCTGCGAGCGCGAGGGGAAGGGAGGTGAGGGAGGGGAAGGGAGGGTGAGCGACATGCGGTACCGTGGGGAGGGGAAGCGGAGGTAGAGGAAGGAAGGGAGCGTGAGGGAGGCGGAAGGGAGGTGAGGCGAGGCGGAAAAGCGCGCAGGTGATAGGCGAAGGGGAAGGATGTTGAGGGAGGGGAAGGGAGGTGAGGGAGGGGAAGGGAGGTGAGGGAGGGCGAAGGAGGGAGGCGAGGGAGGAAGGAGGTGAGGGAGCGGAAGGGAGTGAAGTGGAAGGGAAGTGAGGGAGCGGGAAGGCGAGGTGCAGGGAGGGGAAGGGCAGGTGAGGGAGGAAGGAAAGGTCCAGGGAGGGGTGGTACACACAATAATCATTAGGAGAGAAATTGTTCTGATTATCTCTTACTTTTCCTACGTGTGTTTGTGTACGTTTTTTGCGTTTGAGTGTGAGTGTGTGTGTATTGTTGCTGTGTGTGTGTGTGTGGATGCAAGCTAGTTCGCATGTATTGGCTCATTGGTGATTTTGTACTTGTGGAGCCATCTGTGGGTCAAAACAGCTCCTAAATGAAACAAGCACACAGTGGTCGTGGCATGTACGGTAAGTGTAGATAGATAGACGGGTCTCACGTATACTTTTATTTGTTTGTGTTAATGATCAATGATTTATGATTAATAGGAAAAGGGAGGGGTTTTGAGTTACCCTTAGATATGAGTTCAGGTAGTGCACAATATTGCTTTTTATATTCATAATCAGTATTTCTCTTTTTTATTTTTCTATTTTCTCTGTATAACATGAGAGCAGAGAGGAGAGCAGAGTAGAAGAGAGAGAGAGCAGAGAGAGAGAGAGCAGAGAGAGAGAGAGGAGACGAGAGGCAGAGCAAGAGAGAGGAAGAGAGAGAGAGAGAAGAAGATTTACATGTATTTGCTCTATATGTCCCATCATGTCGTATATACTGCTGCTGTCTGTGTGATTTGTATGCATATAGTATGTTCGTACTTTAGTAATGATTCGTGCATGTGTATGGACGAATGTGTGTATGCGTTTGTTCTGTGTATGAGCGCCGTGGTGTTTGTGTGCAGAGGGTGTAAATTTTAACGTTACATAATGTATGTATGTATGCATGCATTGCTACATGACCACGCATTGGTGTGTCTGTCTTAGCGCGAGTCTCTTTGCGGTTCAGACGTCCCTGGCAGGAGCCCGCAGAAATCCCCTAGTGCGTCCCCGCAAGCAGAGTCCTAGCCGGAGATTCGGGTGATTATACACCTCACTGCTCACCTCCGACGGGCCCTCGCCCTCCGTATGCCCCTCGTCTCCCGCTGCATGGATTAAGTGCTTGCCTGTGTGTCTACCAGTTGTGTATCTGCTATATTTGAATGCTATGACCTACTACTCCCTTCTTATAATACCTGCGCCCCTCTCCTCTATACCACTCTTCATCCCTCTACACCTCCCCCTCTCTTTACCCTACCTTCTATATCCCTCACAACCTCCCCTCTCTTACCCTCTCATCTATCCCTCCTACTATATCATTCCTACATATCCTTCAGAGAGCGCACTCGCAAGCACTCCCCAATCCTGCATCCCTACCTCATTCGCACTCTCAGCACATCCCCTAGCTGCTACCTCTAACCCTGCGGAGCGCGCGAGACTCACCTCCGACTCTTTCTTCCCTAGCGCTCTTCGCCCCGCGTAACGCATCCCCCAGACTATGAGAAAGTATGCGCGATGATCATGCAGAGAGCAGAGAGAGCTCACGCGTAGATAGATATGATACGATAGCATTAGACTTTCTTCCCTACCTCTTCCCACTATCGAACCTTCGCGACGAGCAATCCTCGTTATCCCTACCGTAACTCCCCTCTCACCTCCCGCGTCTTCTTCACCTACCTCTTCCCTCTCACCTCCCAATCTCTATTCCCTACCTCATTCCCTTCTCACCTCCCCCTCTCTTCCCTACCTCTTTCCTCTCACCTCCACTCTTCGTACCCTACCTCTTCCCTCTCCATACCTCCCCCTCTCTTCCCTTCTCATCTCGCCTCTCTTCCCTACTCGCTCTTCCCTCTCACCTCCCCATTCTAACTTCCCTACCTCTTCCCTCTCACCTCCCCCTCTCTTCCCTACCTCTTCCCTCTCACCTCCCCCTCTCTTCCCTACCTCATTCTCCCCACACCTCGCGCCCTCTCTTCCCTACCCTTTCCCTCTCACCTCACCCACTCTCCCTACTCTCTCCATTCTCACCTCCCCCTCCCTTTCCCACACTCTTAACACCCTCTTACCTTCCCCCTCTCTTCCCGTACCTCTTCCCTCTCACCTCCCCATCTCTTCCCTAACCTCTCCCTCTCACCTCCCTCTCTTCCCCTACCTCTTCCCTCTCACCTACCCCCCTCCCTTTTACCCACCTCTTCCCTCTCACCTCCCCCTCTCTTCCCTACCCTCTTCCCTCTGCACCTCCCCCCTCTTCCCTACCTCTCCCTCTCACCTCCCCTCTCTTTCCCCCTACCTCTTTCCTTCTCCACCTCCCCCTACTCTTCACGCGTACCTCTCTCCGCTCACCTCCCCCTCTCTTCCCTACCTCTTCCCTCTCACCTCCCCCTTCTCTTGACCGTGACCATTCTTAGCCTCTCACCTCCCCCTACTCTTC